AAGTATAAGTAAAATTTTATCTTTCAAGTTCACTTTCATCTGCTCTAATTCATAAATGTAATTTTTAATGTAAAGTAGTTTTGTAGAGATTAAATTCAGATATATAAGATTTTTAATTTTACTAATTTTGAAAAACAGTTGCAATTTCAGTCAGCCTATCTCATCAACCGAACTTCTAAGTTTAGACTCACGAGAACAGGAAAATTAATACAGTGTAGGATTCTCCATTGTGTAATTTTAAGTTACTGTTGAAAGTGAAGAATCTTAAGAACTGATAAGCGAATAATCGCTTGAGTTCGTGTGACAGGAAACAACAAGATAGAAGGGTAAAATAACCCTTTATTATTCCAATCAAGTGTAACAGAACTCCGTCTTGGAGTTGTACAATAAAGCCGACACTTGGGCTTGAACTTAAGAGACTAAGAATTAAACTAAACTAATCTTAACTAAAGACATATAGCCGAAGCTATCAAAATTCTAACAGAGTTGGCCCCTTAACGCTAACTGAGTGCGAAGCTATCAAGGGTCTAGAGTACGGCCGAGCATAATAATAGCTTACGAGAGAGTAGCCTAAAATGGCGGACGCGTGCAGCCAGAATATCTGGTATCTCTCTTATTAAGACAGTAGAAGTTCGCGGTTAAATACCACTACAGCATTCAAACGTGATTCTAAAACTACGTTCTGGCCGGAAGTGGCAAGTTGAAATTAAGAAGCGATAGGAAAGGAAGTTTAACTCAAAATTTAACTGTTAATAAAATTAACATAATCCTTACAACAGAGCAAGAAGACAGACATGAAAGGTAAGGTAAAGATTCTCATTCTGATAATGATTATTTTAGTTTTTAAATTTATTATTAAGATTTTAGTTATTTTTTTAGTTTTAGTTAGCCTATCTTAAAGAGACTGTCTGATGCAAAATTGGACTGCACCCAGGACACACTAAATCTCACTTTCAACACCTGTATAAAACAAGTTCTTAAATATGGCGGTTAAAGTTTGGTTTCGTCTGTACAGACTAAGTTGTAAGTTCCGGGAAGAGCCCAGAATAAAGCTCCCCGCTTAATCACACGAGCACTAGGGTTAACTCCGACAGTAGCTTTACAGTCCCATACTTCAAACCCTCCGTCTGCCGTTGAGATAAAGGAACAGGCAGTTTATACAGTTGCTAGACTGAAAGCATCTCGGCTGGCAAATTGGAGGCAAAATAGACAAGTGGGCATCTTCAGAACGCAGATTTGTCCTGTCGAGATTTGTGAAGGCCTTTTGGGTGATTTAAACCTAAATATGCCTTTTGAAAATACTAACATACTTGTTGAGCTGCTGGAATTTTCGGAAATACCCTATAATTTAAAACTGGGTGAAAATAGGGAAAAAAGCCCCACTAGATATTATTCTAAAAACAGATGCCTTGTCACTACTGGACAATAACTATACTGAATCAGAATGGATATTTATCTTTACATATGGCTCTGGAATGAATAATGCTTCTGGTGCAGGTGTATATTGTAAACTAAATAGTACGCCCTAGTGGGTTAACATTTTTCAAACTTTGATGCAGAAGTTCATGTGGTCAATTTGGCTGTGTCTAATTTGATGTCTAGAATTGAGTTTTTTTAAAAGCCGTCATTCTTGTTGATTCTAAGTTGGCCATAGAGGTAATAGCTTTCCAACACCACTCTGAGCCTTCTCTTGTGTCAAAAATAAAACGAGATATCAGGGAACTGAATATGAAAGGTGAATCTGTATAATTTCAGTGGATATCACCCCACGTAGATAGTGACGGTAATGAAAAAGCATATTTCTTGGCAAAGAGGGATACGGAGTTATTTATTGAATAGAATTTCATTTCTTTGGCTTATCTTACAAGAAGTATTCAAGAGAATCTTACGTCGGCTTACAATACACAACTATCAATTAAATCGAAAGGTAAATTCTAGGAGAGTATCAGGAATAATTGGAATGAGTTCAGTCGCAGTCAACGTAGAGAGGTTGTGGCTAATTTCAGACTGCGTACATGGCCCGACTGCTTAGTCGAACATATCAACAGAATAGGCAGATTGACTAATAACTTAATACCCTATTTTGTAAAACAGACAGTATAGGTATGCAGCACTTTCTCGTCTGTCCAAACCTTGACTCGAAGTTACAACTTAATGATAGTTTCTCATGCTATATTGGATGGCTAGGGATGATTTGTCCTGAGCACACGGTTGCTTCTCCTCTAATCACGGAAGATTTCAAGATTTCAATTGGGAAATTTTATGTCTTAATTTATTGGTATTGTAACAACCTAAATTTAGTGTCGTAATTTTTAAGCATTTTTAATATTTTGGTGATGTCAATTTGAATTTATTGTTTCTGTCTATTAGTGCTCCACAACTTTTACTCTATGGATTTAAATTTTTCGGGAGTATCAGCAGAACCCATCAGTCTTTCAGCCATTTCATTACCAAAAACGTTGCTCCAGGTACATCGCAAGGGATAGATTATACTACTACACTCAAGATGGGAGGGGAAGGATATGTATAATCAACCAAGTGTTACGCGGGTAGAACCCGCACCAAAGCTTTCGGAGTATCAATCAGTCTCCATTAATACTATCTACGGTGTCTTCTGGATTCAAATTTATAGCTAAGCTGATCTGGAAAAGACAGTTTCAACTTAATCTTTAAAATATTCATTGAAAATTTAGAATTCAATAATCATCCTGCAATATAATAGACACACATACATAAAATTTGGTGGATATTGTGATTAGAAATAATTATTATGTGTTTGTCTCCCTGAAAGTTACAGAAATTTCCATCTGCAGTTCCTTTAGTTTGTGTAATCATAGGTTCTATATATTATAAAACTTTAAAAGCTGCGTTTTATCTAGTTTTCTTTTAATAGTTTATGAAATGTAACTGAAATTATGTTAAGAGAAAAATTCATCGAGTGAGTCAATCGCAGTGAGAGCCTAGTTAATAGTGTGTCGAATAAATGTGAAAAGTTTATAAGACTTTATAGGTAAGTAAAACAAGTTTCAGTATATAAATATGATACATTTAGAACTCTTGTGCGTTAGGGCAGTATACTTTTAGTACCCTTTACATACTACTCGTTACTTTTGTTTTCATTTAATATAATCCTAAGTATATATAAAAAAATCCAAAATTGTCCTTTTAAATATCAATGTTTATAGAAAAAATTTTAAAATAAGGCAAAATTCAACTTTATCTTGACATTGGTTTAAAATAATAGTCTGTAATATATAAAATTCAAATTTAGCTTGACACTGGTTTAAAATAATAGTCTAATATATAAATAATAATCCGTTTAAAATAATAGTCTATCATTTCAAGAGATGACTGGATGCAGGTCTTACTGCGTAGGGAAAAGTATATATTACTAACACGTCTTAATATGCTTCTAACTATGCGTTTACAAATTACAATTTTATGGCTTATAGGCACTATAAAATTGATTTCTTCTTTTAGGTAATTTGTTTTTATGCTTTTATGTAGAAACTTTCACTTATTATTATTATTATTCCTATAAAATGTTTACTAATTATTTTATAATATGTAATATAATAAGAGTTTCAGTTTTAAAATAATACCATTGGTTAAAAAGCTTGCTCTTGAAAATATTTCTCAGAATTTTGCATTTGTTATAAAAGTTACAGAAAGCAGTGTAAAACTTACGAAAATGTCAATTGTTGAGAAATTTTATCTTTCTTATGCATAAATTCCGTTCTCATTGAATCTTTTTCTTTTCTTACTAAACTTTAAATTATGTTATAATTCCATGCAAAATATATATACATATAAGGTGACTGGTAAAACATTTGCTTTTGACAATAATTCTTAAAATTTTACTCATACTACGAAAGATACAAAGGGCAGAGCAATTCATTTTATTATTAGAAGCTATAGATTATTAGAAGATATAAAACTAGCAATTACTGAGAAATTTTTTGATTTTATGAATGGATTTCTTTTTCTTTAAAAAAAAGTATGGTATAAGAAACAATAACAAAATCTATATTTTCGTTACATTGTATCAATCGAAAGCAATAGTAATTAGCAAAATCATAATATTTTCTGTGAATGCATATTTGTTTGGAATGCTTAAAATTTTATGCCGTAAAATATTAATATTAAATTTAAATTAAAGTGCCGTAAAAGATATAAGTCTTAAAACGCATGAATAACTTTCATAACTGAAGTGGAAAAATCATAATTCAAATATTCACTTTCAAATTTTAATCTAGTTCGTCTCTGTAAACTTGGGGGGAAATGTTTCAAGAAAAGTTGTGCCTTTACTACAAGTATTTACTTTGGCATAAGCGGCGTTGAAAAAAGCTCGCCAAAGTTTCAGTGCGTACATCATTCTAACAATTTTTAGTGCGAATGGACGAAGACTGTCAGGGCGAAGTTCTTCAACGACGTTAAATTGTGTAAAGCTCCTCAATTTACGTAAACATGAGAGTAAACATTTCTCACACATATTTGACTTTTATTCATATTTATAATACTTGTCTGCGAAGTAGATTTGACGATATGCATTTTATTTATTTATTTATTTTTTTATTATATTTCCTTCTAAAAGAAACCTCGGCGTTGAGCGATGAATCACTAGTAAGATTATTTTCTCCCACCATTTCTGGCTCAGCATGCTCTAAAATTCCGTTTCTAACTTAATGGAGAAATTTTTATATTCTGATGTTTTCGTTTGCATTTATTAATCCCTTATTTTATTCTGTTATATACAAGTTCAAGACCCCTATTTTGCTATTCATTACATATATATTATAAATATTTCATTTTATTCCTTTTCAAAATATTAGCAATGTTATTAAAAGCGTTTTGCACTGAAAATAAAACAGCCTTCCTATCAAGGTCACGTATCTACTAAGATTAAGTCCGAGTTTCTGTCGCAAGATGGCGCTACATGTAAGCATAATATAAGCCTTCCCTCTCTAAGAGAAACGTCAATCGGTAGAGAATTCGTTCAGAACTGCTCTCCATTGATCCGAACAGCTCCTTGCAAGTCATAAAGATTTTAAATAATTTCAGACACTTCTGAAGTACGTATTTGCTCTCAGATGGCGGAAGTAGAAGATACATGTCAAGCAAAGCATGTTGACGAAAAGGTATGAACCATCTGCTTTTTAATTTCTAAGTAGGAATGTTAGTGATGCAGAAGATGAATCTGTCCGCTCGAAACTCAGATAGATTCACCTATGAGAACTAATGTGACTAGCTCTCAAAGGTAAGCTAGAAATTGCCTTATCCTTTCAAGGATCAGAAAATTGAGAACCTTATAGGCACAGTTCTGCTGTGTTGAGTATATTTATTCTCTAACAGCTTAAGGCTGAACGCGACGACAAATTTTGTAAATGAAAAATCCCTGTGCTAGAGTATCCTTTTATTTACTCTGCGAATATGCGCAACTTGTAAACAGGTAAAACATACGAGTAGCGTTGTTTCAGAAATGTCAAAAGTATCGTAAGAATGACTTTGGATTAGCATTCATATGCAAAGTTCTGCATATTATTAATATTTTACTGATTTATTTTAAAACAAAACAAAACAAAAAAAAAAAAAAAAAAAAGACTGCGTCGAATCTTAAGAAGTATAATTAGTTTTAAGAATTATTCTAGCCTTCAGTTAGAGTACTTGAAACAGCTTTAATGGCTAATATATGAACGCGAATTTCATTTATTAAAATACGATAATTAACGATAATTCTTTAAGTTAAGCAATATTTTTCAAATTAAAATCGGAGATAACATCCACATTTTCTCGATAACAAACTTATTGTACAGCACTTCATCTCATAAGAAGTAAATGTTAATTTTCCATATTTGTTATATATAACCTACCAGGCTGTTAAATTCGTTACAAGTTATAAATATATTAAGTTTGAAACAAAATGCGTTTAAACAAAGTGCGTTTTTATACACAGTTTATGGCTGGAAAACAATGTCTAATTTAACGTCCTATGTACATTACAAAGCAATTTATAGTTTATAGTTTTACAATATGCAATTATAAATAGTCTTTGCTTGAAAATTAGAAATAGAAATACAAAAAATTTTCAGAGTTCTGATCTATTTTTACAATAATCTAATAATATTTTTGTCTGTAGTTCACATTATATATAATCTTGCAAAATTAATGCCATGAAAAGATATTGTTCTTTCCCCTTAGTGTGAACCATTCTAGGTGTTGAGAAAGATCTTTCATGTGTTAACTAAAATCCTTTCAGGCGCTCAAGCTACTTAGTTTCGTTTTCTTGTTTCGGATGTCAAAAACAAGAAAACGAAACTATTATCATTCTACGTGTTTAAGATCTTTCACTTACCTTTAAAGTTATATTAGTGCATTGATTATCAAGCAACTAATTGAGCCATTCTAAAACAATATGTACTTTTTCACATAATTTTGTTAGTTTGTAGCAATAACAAGTTTTATTTACATCTACGGAATTAGCGTGATAAATGAATGTGTTTATTAATTATACTAATGGTATAAATGCTGTGTCATAAATTATGTTTCTCTGCTACAGAATTTTTTGTTCCTCTACCCGTACGTTGTTATCATCCTAAAAGTAACGCGCTGTGACAAAGATAAAATTCTGCAGCATAGATTCGAATTGTTTGTATGTTACTTTCTTTCTATTAAATTTAATTTAAGACTTTGTTTTATTGTACAACAGACGTAGACATTATTTTTAACTGGAAAGAGAAGGAAAATTTTTGTATGGTCTTCTACTGATAGGTATTTTCAGAATGTTCAACAATTTGAAAAGTGAAACGGACGTTTAAAGTTTTCGACGCAAAATACCAAAACGAAATTAATTGCTCTTCTGGGCTAACGCCCTTTGGTCTAATAAGTTAAAAAGATATCAAAATTGCTAAATTTTTGGCGACCCCGTACTGCAGGTCCCGTGACCCCAGTTGGGGTCTCAAATCACAGTTTAAGGAACTCTGACATAGAATAAAACGAAATTTTGCGTGAGCGACGTTTTCACAGGAATAATTCTTTAAGTTATACCATCTATCACAAATATAGTTATTAGTGTTCGAAAACGTTTCTAAAAATATGCATATTCGCAATTTCCGTTTTTGGCTTTGGAAGTACTAAAATGTGCAAAGCTGCTTGCTCTGATTCATTGTAAATTATATAGATTAAATTTACTTTTACAACGGTTTCTAACAACTTAAAAAAATTAAATGTTAAGAATTACAGCAATTTTGCAAGTCTTAACTAAAATAGTTTATAAACCATCATTTTTTCGCTTAATAATTCATTTGTCTGTAACTACATGGACTAAAGTAAAAAGTCTCCAGGCTCCTGTTTTCCTGTGAATCATCTTCCAGATCTGATCATCTGCTAGAGGATTTTACTTTAATCATCTTCAATCTGGACCTTCATTATGTTCTAAATGATTAAAGTAATCATCTAGAAGATTCTAGATTATTAAAGCAATTAATCCTTACTTTAATCACCGTTCGGATGATTGTGCATCCTTAAATAAATGCAAATTAGCAGTGCGAGGCCTACAGTAAAAGTAATATTACTTAATATATAAAACTTTAATTCGTTTATATAATATGGGAGGTGGAAAATAAAGTACTTCATTTTAAATACGCGAAATCATGCTTCTTTAGATATCCTAATTTTCAGTGTTCAATGTATTTTTTACGAATTTTCACTTCCGCTGGTAATAAATCAATTCATAAGAACAGAATATGTTGTAATACTAGTTGAAATGTGACTTTTCAAGTCAGTTATAAAGGTAACCTTTACATTATAATGGATTATCGGCTGATAAAACAAATTATGCTGCAACCTTAGATTGAATATCCCTCTTCTAATTAATAACGCCCCATCGCTATTGATACCAAAGATAACATGATGGGCTGCACCTTGTTAAAATAAGTAAACAGAAGCTGTCGTGTAAAAGAGTACTCAAGCGTTCGATAGATGAAAGAGAAACATGATAACTTGAACATTACAATTAGGCAAAATTTGGCGTTAAATTAACTTTAGTTTTAGAAGAAAGCTCCTCGCAGTCCGAGGGAGGAAGGGTAATTTGCATTATTCTTAGGATATTTGGTTCCTTGAAGAAGAGAGATGAGTTCGGATTCTCTAAAAATATATAAAGCTTTTCTCTAAAATTAATTTTAATCTAAGGCTGAACTTTGTTTAGTTTTAACTACGAATGTTCCCGAATCGCTAAAAACCTTTCATCAGAGACCAGTATAAATTAAGTTATAAGGTATTTCTCCCGCTTTCCTAGCGTGCCTTCGTAATGCAGTGGTTCTGCACACTGGGCCAGTATTCCAGAGGTCTGCGGTTCGATTGCCGGCGAAGGCGTTTGCTCATTTTTCATCTCTCCGGTTTTTCCAATTAACCTAATGTCTCTACAAAGTAATTGGAAAAAAAAAAGATGAAAGAAAAAGATTTGAGAAAAATATTAGACATAAGGACCATTTATAAATTATTACAGTTCAAAATTTTCAACTGAGAAGCTTTATTAAAAATATTTAATCTAACTGTTTTTTAGATGTCGTTAGATAGCGAATTTTTTTCAAGTAGTAATTTAGTGGTACTTATTATTAATTAATTTATTTCATCAAAAAGTTTATGCATTATTGCTTATTTTATAACACATTTCGAGTCTCTTTTGCTTTCTTTTATGTATAAACTGGGAAAGATACAAATTAAAAACAAGTAAATTCAAAGGAATTACGTAATAAGTGTTTAATTGCATTTTAGACACTAATTTAATGGATTTTCTAATCAAATTAATACATTAGTGAAAGACTGTGTGTGAACTAAATGTGTAAGAATCCAAATGGGAATTTTGCCAGAAAAAGACTGGAATTTTTTCCTCTTTTCTTAAGTATATTTTTCCTCTAGCGAGAAAATAATGTCAACATAATTAGTAAAAACTTTAACTGTGTGTGAGCTTGGCAAGTAAACGGTTAAAACTGCAAAATCAAAATTTTTTTTAAATTCTTAGGATCTCGTCATTATTATCACTTTTCATCTGTCGCTAACATTCAACGAAGCTCTAATGTCTTATTCCACATTTCCTTAACAATCTTCACTTAATGTATCAAAATTAGACGTGATTATTGAATTTAAAGGAAGACTTTAAAAGTAACTAGCGCATCGAGCAACAGCACCACAGGTCCGGAGTTCGAACCCCGGGCTGAGCAAGGTCGACTCAGCCTTTCATCCCTTGGGTTGATAAAATGAGTACCAAGTTCGCTTGGGGACTAATCATTGAGGGTGGGGGTCCTACGACAAGCTGACCACTTGTTCAGGGCATATGCTTACGCACCCCGGGGCCCACGGCCAAGAAAGCAGATTTCCAGGTACTGCAGGCCTTGGCCCATTAGGGCTGTTTGCGCCACTGAGTTTAGTTTTTAGTTTTTAGTTCTTTAAAAGTAAATGTCCATTGTTAAAGCTGTGATTTTATGTATATCGAAAACACTGGTATTTATATCCATAGAAAAGTTAATTAAATTATGCAAAGTTCTTAGAGAATAGTTTCCTAAAACGAAGCACATTTCTTGTCCATTTTATCATATAATACTTATGTTTCCTTCCTAAAACATTTACATGTTTCAAAGCATAAATTATATTTTTAATTAAAAAAAGAAAATGAGATTGTCGTAGATTTTTAAATAAAATTGTATCGATTTCGAAGGCGATCAGACATAGGTTTTTCTTCTTCAGGAATAAAACATTTTAGGTAAAAATGCTTTGTTTCTGAAGAAGAGTGACTTATGTCTGAATTGAAATCGATGGTTTTATTCAGAATCTACATCATCATAAGTTGCTTTTTGCATAATTTCAAATAGCACCTCGGCGAGTTTCAAGCCTAGTTAGATAAAATGATGTCAACTCTCGATGCATTTCAAAATGTTACAGTCGTGAATTATGAAAATCCAAACTTTGGTATGAAAGCCTCTATGGCATCCCAACGAGCATATTTTTGCACTCTTTATACACGTGATTTTAACACAAAAACCTTAAAGAACATTCTTTTCTTAAAATAGCAACAGAAGAGGGTGAAAAGAGGAACAAGCAATTAAATCGAGGTTAAATGCTAAATTTTCTGCTTATTCAGCAG